AATTCATAATTGTTGGAGTTGTTGGCTTTACCAACTGTTTCCGTGAGCCAATCATGGAAAGTATTGATTGTACTAGCAAATTGAATGATACCAGGTGTTTTTGCTTTTGGGGGAGCCCAAAGAAACTGCTAGTGCTCATAATGCTCAAACGCGCCGCTTCCAACGACCTAATTGGTGCTCATGATGCTCGTCCGAAATTTGCGATTCAGCACATCTTGTGTATACGGTTCGAGATGTATAAGGTATTTACTTATGTCACTTTCTTCTTGGTGTTTGCATCGGGGGCCTTTAGTCGTTGTTTATGCATTTTTGGTGTGGCTTTATTTGCTTACAATAAAGAGCGATTTCTCCAAAGACTAGCATTTGCACCAGGACTCTGTCATACATCATTGTCAAATGGTCATCATTTGGTAGGTGCGAAATTTCGAAATATCGAAAAATATATTGAAAAATTTACGAATCCTAGCTCGACCAATAAATGCACCGGACTTGTATTATGCACACAGTTGGGATGAACTATACTCAGATTAAACATGTCGAAATGAATTGGACCTGAAAAAAAGGAAAAGCTAGCAACGTCGACTAATAAACAACGAGACATAGAACCTACAGTGTAATGTGCAACCACGGCATGTTGTATTATGTTTGATGTGGACCACTACCTGTAATAGTTTAGTTTCAACAAGTTAGAAACAAGCACAAAAAAGAAGTTAGAAGCAAGCACATGCTTTACTTGATTTACCATCATCCTACCAAGAGGTCTCATAAGCACAAGTGTGAATGTTCAACATGTACTGAATGGTAAGTTTATACTTATCACATGTATAAACACAGGACTCAGCAAGTAGTACATTCACTTTGTATATAGTGCTTGGCTGTTATAAGCAAAGTTTTCGAAACATATACGAAGTACTCTGAATGAATAAGCACAACAATAGTTGACACAGTGAATCTTGATTCAACAATGATAAGACACCGGAATGATAAGACACCGGGATGTACATAATGTTAATCCGGTTAATAGTCATGAAGCACAATAACTACAGTAACAGGATCTACGGTACTGGTTAAAACATGTGATAATAACATTGCGAGACGTAATTAAAAAACAACACTTGATTTGTTTGAATTCGACATTGACATAGAAGAACAGGTTATGTAGCAGTTTAGACATGGCTGAGGCACCAAACGGAGATCGGATTCCTAAGGAAATTCGGACTATACTTCCAGCAAAAATACTTACACCTACATGTATCATAGCGGGTCACGTTACCATTGTCGCTATTGACTCATAATTTGACAGATGCGCATGAGTCATTGTGCAGTGGTTCGAAGACTAAAGATTTTTAACAAGTATAATGACACTATCTCACACTTCGGCTTATTCGGTATATGAATACATTAAGCAATGAACTCACTGACTACTTCGTGTACCAGACAACAAAACCCACCAACAACACTGACATTGTGGTGTATAAACAAGTGAACGTTCAGCGAACGCGTGTGTGTGTGTGTGTGTGTGTTTATAAACCATCACGGCAGCCAACTCAGCATAGTCACTATCAACCTTGATACGAAATCTGCATGGGTGGTCACGAGGATGCTACAGTAGAGTTCCATGCCATGCAAAGCTGTTTGTTTTCGTGAGTTTCAGTCGGCCTGCTTCGCCATAACCCCACTCGCTCACTACTGTATGTCGACTGCTCGCGACCACCGGCATCGTTGTCTGAACAGCTTTTCCTATGAAATTGCTTGCTTCTTTTTGCGTGCGCATGCACTCGCAGC